TGTAGGAAGGTCAAAGTTGCGGATTCACCTAAAAAGTAGTCTACTGAAGTTATTTGAAATGCTGATCTCGAATTACATATCCATTTTGCACTATATTCTCTGTAATCTTCAATTTGTTAGAAGACGAACGTCAATTCGATGACAAGGTAGTATGTTCTAGACAAAAAAACGGGTGCTTAATCTGGACTTTTTTTCATTATTTTCTACGCAACAATTCCTAAGCCAAATTTGAAACATGTATATGATCGATCCTTTCATGATTAAAACAACTTTTGTTTGGAAGCAAATCGTATCCATTTTTACTTCAGATATTTTTCTTTTTTTTCGTAAGAGATACGTGAAACGGTTAGCTATATTTCTGATGGATTACATATGCTGGCACTTTGAGAGTCTCACACCAATTTATTGATAATCTAAACAATTGATGTTATTATTTTCATTGAAGCAAGTGCGATACTTTTTTTAACCGCCATAAGGTCAAATGAGACGATGTTCTTGGATGATGCTAACAAAAGGCCGTTTTTGAGGTCTGTTATCTGAAGTCCGGCCAGTGATTGGCGCAACCAAGTTGTGGATAAAGGTGCAGTAGTTGGCCTTTTTCGTGCTGCTGCGCAATGTGAAATTGAAGTCGCGAAGTGCGAAAAACATTGTTTTACGCGCCGAACAGTGCAGAGTTTGCTCAATATTTCATCATAACCTATAGTCATTTTTTCTCAGGTTATCCTCATCGTTAATTCGGACAAAAAAGCCAAAAAGCTGGAAGTTTGGTTCCAGATTCACATGCTGCGAAATCGTCAAAGTGGCCTTCCCTAAGTATAAATTAGTCAGCATCTTACAATTAATCGTAGCAAATGAAATGTTGTCAAACAATCTTCATAGAGCCAAAGTGTCAACCTTATTGAGTGGCTGCTTCTAGAGTAGTGTGAGAAAAAATTCAATACCGCTGCATTGACGAGATTTTAGTAAAACTGGCTAATTCACCGTTCGCTGATATAAACGAAAAAAGGTATGAGCGGGAGAATACTTGCATTCTAATAAATTTGAGATTAAAGCAGAAATTATCGTGTAAAATGGATATGTAATATGAGACAGCATTTATAATCTCAGTAGACTACTTTTTAGGTGGATCCACAACTTTGACCTTCCTACAGTACATCTACAGTAACCCTACAATGGACCTTTACCGTGCAAGCTGAATAATGTCCGCGTGATCAACATTTCAAATAAGTCCAAAGTCTCGGTGAAATCCGA